TTCTTCCAGATGAGGAATTATGGTTCTCTGCAAATGAGAGGAAAATGGGCTCAGAAAAGCAAACCCATGGGAACACAAACCCTGGGCTGCAGCGTGCTACCATTCCTGCCCATACAGAGCCTGAGAAATCCTGGTAATCTTGGACTTCAAACAAAATAAAGGAAAATCTGAGAATGGCAAGTCATTAAACAACTACCCAAGAAAGAAGGGGAAACAAAGAAGAGCTCCACCTCCAATCTGCTCACAGTACTCACTCATTAAATGAAACTTCAAGAAGACCCTGGAACACAGATTGTTTGGTAATACAAATGGTAACTCTAGGCATAAATCCAGCAGTACAACCCTTCATCACACGTGATTAAATACCAGTGAACTCCTACTGCTGGGATAGCTGACAAGGTCTATTCTCTTTTGAAAAGCATTAAAACGTATGTTCCAGAAATTGCTTGCCAGTAAAATATCCTTTGAAGGAAAAAAATCACTAACACCTGCACTTTCTTCTTTTCTCCATGTTTTACCTCTCCTTCTGTAAGGAGGAATTGATTTCTTTAAAAGTGCCGCTAATTAGGAGCCATTTAGATAACATACTGTAATTTGTTCTAAGCTTTGTGGGTTTTTAAAAGATGATTTAGAAGGCTTGTAATAAAGAAGATACATCACACGTGATTGTAAAGCCTCCATCCTTCACTTTCTTCGCAAGCTGGCACCCAGAAGACACCCACTTACCTGCATTCTCATTTTGTCTTTAGAAGAGACTGTGTCCATCAAAATTCTGATGGAAATACTGCAGTTTTTCCTTTAGTAACTTCACAGATACTTGTAAGCCTCTGTGCTTCCCAAGGTCCCTACAGAGTTGACCATCAGCCCTGCCACACAAACCTGACCCACACACCAGCACACAGAGCGCTACTTGGGTGACTATAGCTGCTAAGGGCAGTAAGTATCACTGTGTCAATCTCACACTTCAGCGTAAGTATGACCTCCCCATCCTGTCTCATCACTTAAAATTGAAAATAAATGACCTATTTTGCATGGTACCTCTAAACTCCATCTGATTAAATAACTTCAGAAAGTTTGAACCGGAAGTCACGCAAGCACTATAATTTCTCTATATCCTCTTAAATGAAGAGCAAAACTCCTGGAAAGGCACAGCAGCATTTCTATCTGGCTCAGTGAAAAAGTGAATCTGAAATGAAAGCGTCAATATTCAAGAGAAAAGAAAAGCTACAGAATTGAGCTAGGAAGCATAGGGCAGGCGTGCACAGAGGTGTTATTTTTACACCCCTGCCGCCTTTAAAAACACAGCCCACTGACCAGGCAGGTTGGAAGGAAAAGCTGCTGAGGAGCAGTATTCCAAAGGCTGGCAGCATCAACATTTATCTAAAACTCTTAGAAATGCCTCATTTTCCAAATGCCAAATGATAAGGTGAAACAACACAGCTACTTCAGGGCGTCTGTGCGACATAATGCTACATACCATCAAACCATCGGTGTGATATAAGACACTGACAACTATCACTACATAATACTCTCAGATTCCAAGAAAATTTGAATACTAGAAGAGAAAATTGCTCTTTCTGCACATCATCTCATTGGTTTAAACCAGAATAAGCTGGACTGTTTCTGCTGCCACCTGCTCTGTAAGGAGCAGTCAGACTGGGCAGCAGCACTCTGCACCTGCACAAATGAATGTTTTTTCCCCCAAAAATAGAGGTGAAAAGGTGAAGGGCCAAGAAAGCCAGGAGCGCTACTCCAATCAAGGTCCCTTTGGAAAGTAATCCAGAATAACAGCAAGAGCTCAGATACTACCAAGCATCTTTTTCAGAGGTATCTCATTACACTCGGCTTTCTTTCTGGGCTGAGGTCCAGAAATTCTGGTATTGCCTTATTTTTTCCAAGAATTTATTGCTTGAATAACGTGCACCTTGTGCACTGCATTTAACAGATGGTCATTGATCTCCTTGAACTCTTTTTTTCCACTCTGATCATTCTTCCCTGAGTTATATGAAAGTATTTTTCCAGTTTTTAGCAGAAGATGGAAATCCAACTGATGAATTCCACACCAAAATAGCACGAGAAGCAGAAGGATCCTTTTCTTGGTGGTTCCTCATTCACTGCACTTTATCACACGTATCAAGAAGCACATGGAACCCCAGAGATGACCACAGCCCCCCTCCCTCTGTGAAACGAGGATGGCAGAGCCCAGCCCTGCCTTAATGCTGTGCCACCACCCCATAGGGACATCGCAGCTCTTTTCTCTGAGACAGAGCTCTGCTCATCTCAACTTCCACATTCTCCCCCTAGCATCCCCTCTGACTGTCCCCATGTCCCAGGGGGAACTCCTCACTGCTTTCAGTGCTTACCATCCTGGTCAGCACCTCTGACTCCGGTCTCATCTGAGGGCAGCTGGCTACTGAGTGCTGATTCAAACAGGGTGATCTAAGTACAAGTAATACCTCCATCTCTCTGACTCAGAATCCTTGTGACAATTCAGTGCGCAGTTTCTTCTTTATCTGCTGCAGGCTGCCAGGAAGATGCTGACGTTCTGCTTTTTAGATGAGGCAGAGAAGCTCCCTACCACTGCCCAGAACTACCTGGAGACCTCCCAGCACTGCCGCACCTGCCAAGCAGCTCAAAGCCTCTGCCAGGAATCGGCATTGCATCTCCTGCAGTGGCTTCTGCTTCTCAAGGGGTGCTGACGAGCACCACGGCTTCTCCAGCAGGTGTCACCAGCCTTGCTGCAGCCCTGCAGCCTGCTACCACCCCTACAGCCGGGTTAGATGAAGAGCCTTTGAACTGGGCTGGTACAGGTGGGGATTTGTTGCCCTGCACCAATTTTTCAGCCATGTGGGTCCACCCACTCAGATCGCAGGGTGCCAGCAAGCACTCAGGCTCAAGCAGCGGTCTGTGTGTGACTTCGCTCCCGCTCCCTCTCTTCTCCGTACCACTTTATGGCTTTTAAATGTTATATTCATGCTAGGCTATAAATGTTGAATGCTCCCTCTGCTACTTCACCAGAGAGCAGCCGCAAGGACTATGGCTGATAAAAATGGAGCTTGTCACGGAGGAGAAAGAAAAGCAGTGCGAGCCGTAATCGTGCTGAGAAAACACTGCTGGAAGATGCATAATCCAACGTGACACTTGAGGGCTCTTGCCACAGAACAGCCAACCGTAAAAGAAAATAATAGGATTCTTAAGGTCTACTTTCACATAAGTGTACTCACACATCCTGTCAGAACGATGCGAGAACTTCAATAATAATACATTTTTAAAAACTGTATTTTCACATCACTAGTGTTTCCTTTCAGAGCATTAACTGTAAGAACAGAGCTGCAGAAGGTAACGATAGGAACCTTGTAAGAGGAGTGCTGTACCTTAGCAGAGGACAACCTGAAGTTGCCACATCTCCTTAAGCCACAGCATGCATCCTCTTGCCCTGGGCCAGGTGTCAGTGCCCACCTCTAACAGTGAGGACAGAAGGCAAAGCCCACCCCCTGTCACAGCACTCTGCTGCGGGCAGTGCTCGGTTATCCTCAAACACGTCCTTATGGGGCTTTGGGGGGACTGAAGCTATGAAGAACGTCTCACAGAGCCCTCAACGTGGGAAGGTCTTTTCCCGCTGGACTTTTTCCTTACGCTTGGCTAAAGCACCAAAAACAAAACAAGGTGCGTTTGGCTGACAGGTAGATGGCTGCAAAACAGGAAAGTTGCCTTCTGAGAGGTGAAAGAAATGCCCACCTTTGCCCGCCGCGCATCCCAACGGAAGGAAATACCCCGCCGAGGCGCGGCCCGAGGCACCTCCCCGCGGGGCAGGACGCGGCCACCGCCGCTCCGTTCCCGCCCAAGAAGCACGCGAGCCCCCACCCGGTATCGGAGGGACGGGAGAGAAGGGAGCGAGGGGTCGGGGGCCGCTCACCCGCGCAGCGCAGGCCCTGCGAGACGACGAAGCGGCAGCAGAGGTCGCACCACGCTCCCGCCGCCGCCGGCACGAAGCGGTGCGGGGCGCTCGGCGGCGCCGGACGGCCGCTGGAGGTGCCGGGGTCGGAGCCGAGGTCGGGGCCGGGTCCCCCCGGGGCCGCCGCCATGCGCGCTCCTCCGGAGAGCCGTCGAGCGGAGCGGCCCGGCAGCGCGGCTCTGCCCGCCGTCCCCGGGGCACGGCTGCGTGCGGGAGGCGCGGCGCCGCGCCCGGCGCTCCTCAGCCCGTTACAAGTGACACCGCGCGCGGCGCGCAGGGGGCGGCTGCGGAGCATCGCGAACATCCCATAATACGCCGCTTTTAGCGACGGCGTTTTTCGAGCCCGGGTTCCCTTAGGAGGGTTCCGGAGAGTCGGGAGCGGTCCGGCCCCGCAGCCCTCTCTCTCCGCTCCGCAGTGCCGCAGCGCTACCGCTGCTGTGCCCAGAGCAGGGGGAGGCGAAGGAGCCCGGAGGGGCCCGCACGGACGCCTGGGAGCCGGTGCCGAAGGAACGAGGAGCACCGGGGGTGCGGCGATTGCTGCGGCCAGCGGAACAAATACGCAGCAGTAAGATTAACGCACCTCCCTTCTTCCAGATTTAGAATTCTCTTCAGGATTTAAAAAGAACGAACAAAAAAACCGCCCACCCTCTTCCATTCAGCCTTTTAAACCCTTATCGTAGCACTATAGCCGATGTTACTCTATGATTACCGCTATTACAGCGCTTTAGTCCAATTAGAGCTGACAAGAGGAGTTCACAGCCTGACAATTTTGCCACTCTCACAGGGAGCTCATTTTCATCAGAACACGTGTTAGCAGAGCAGTTATAAAGTACAAGGCATGACTGGCTCTCCTGGCAGCCCTGCCAGTCATTCTATTGTTTGGGACACCACTTCAGGACAGCCGACTAATGCCAGCTCTATGCTGCGCTTCGCTACGTCAGACTTGAGGCTTATGAGGATACGGGGAAATAAACATTAGAAGGCAACACTGAAATGGAGAAAAAGCAAAGTTATGGAAAGACAAAGAAGGACACGCTCCACGGTAAGAGGTTGATGATGTATTTAAGTCATTCACTCATGCATTTTCACAATTCATATGACGACAGATTTGTTTGAGTAACAGATAATTAATATACTATGCTAAACCCCCCAGAAAGCAAACCAGCTTCAGGAGGAAGAACCATATATTACTTTCTATTACTTCTTTTGGCAAATCAGTAGCATGACTGATAGCATCAGGACACTTAGTATGAGCCAAGAGTTCCATGGTATCATATGCCACACCTCAACAGGAAAAGTATATTGATTTCATAAGAAGGTAATCAGTAAATCATGAACTGATTACTTCTTTAGCTAGTGCTTAGTTAAAATTACTTTATCTAAAAGTAATTTTAACAGGATTAAGATCACCAATGTATTTAGCAACACTAAAACCTGCCATGTTTAAAATGAACATAGTAGAACATAAATCAGTTTCAACCATAAAAAAGAATGCCACGTGTATTTCAATACACAGACAATATTGTTACCACAATGAGCTTTCCTATTCAGATTGCTTCAGTATAAAGGACGTTGAGAATCACATATCCAACTAACACTCAGTTTCTTTCAAAATTAAGAGCCTTTGAAACTGCAAGGGGTTATCAATGTAATGTTGAAAAATACCTAAGTTGGCAGTGGGTGGGTTCATTTTTCCAAGATCTGGACTGGTTACATTATTTTTTCTAACGTTCAGTTACCACTGAGGCATAATGCTCTCTATTCTACTCACCACCTAAAAAATCTCTGTAATATCTGTTTTTAACCTTTAAAAATAATGTCTACAAAGAGGACTCTGAAAAAAAAACAATTTTATTTTAAGAACCCACTTCTCTTGTAGTGAGCAACAAGATTTCAGGAACACTCTAAAAGTACTGTACTCTACAAAAGGAGTTTCTACATTCAGTCTGACACCTGCAGTATCAAACTTCCACATACAGAGCAGACAACGTGGCACTGAATATGGGTAAGGACTTAAAAACAAAAAATACTGTGAAATTATTTTCCCACAAAAGAGAACTAATAGGCACATGAAGACAAATGTGTTTCCACTCTGTCCTGTCTGTGCTTTTAGTCTCCATTCACACTTTTTAAAGAGAGATAATTTAGAACAGCTCTCCTGTTTTGGGATGATTAGAGTCATTCAGCTAGTTTCCAAAGTAATAGAATCACAGAATCATAGAATCCCCAAGGTTGGAAAAGACCTCTAAGATGATCCAGTCCAACCGTCCACTTATCAGCAGTATTTCCCACTAACCATGTCCCTCAGTACAACATCTAAAATGCTCCTTGAACACCTCCAGGGACATTGACTCCACCACCCACCAGGGCAGCCTGTGCCAATGCCTCACCGCTCTCTCACAGAAGTATTTCCTAATGTCCAACCTGAACCTCTCCAAGCATAACTTGAGGCCATTCCCTCTCGTCCTGTCACTGTTACATGGGAGAAGAGGTTGATCCCCACTGCATCACAGCCTCCCTTCAGGCAATTGTAGAGAGCGATAAGGTCTCCCTGAGCCTCCTCTTCTGCAGACTGAACAATCCCAGCTCCCTCAGCCTCTCCCCCTAAGACTTGTGTACCAGACCCTTCACAGCTTCACTGCTCTTCTCTGGACACACTCCAGGGCCTCTATGTCTTTCTTGTTGTGAGTGGTTAAAGGAAATCCAAGACACTCTTTAAAGATGAATCATGATTTTTAGACTTCTATAGGTTACTCTTGCAATAACGAGTAAACTGCATTCTGAAAAAGGGGCAATATTAAAACCAAACAAATGTCAACTTCACCAACAACACTTTTGCCTTCTGGACTATGTCAGAAATCCTCCAAGAATTAAATTCCCTGCCAGAATTAATTCTACCCTAAACGCTGACAAAAAAAGATATATATTTCTTCTATATTTACATATTATACATATTTACATTTTTTTTTAATACTACAGTTGCAGAGAAAAAGAACTGGATACAGATTTATTATCTGCTTTAAAATGTCCCAACAGTATTTTTTCCCTTTGAAAAATGTACAAATCTTCAGGTCCTTTGAAAGTTAGATACAGTCCACATTCCTCAGGCCACCATCTGCAGTCAAAGCACCAAATCTAAAAGGAAAAAGCAGTGTATTCTTAGGTGATTGAATAGATCAAATACAGAATCAGTTAATCCTTACTTCACTGTAATTTACTTGTGGGCTTTTCCTCTCCCTTGTCACATGCTGACACACGCATTTATATCTAACTTTTGTCCCTGACAACAAGACAGAAAAAGGCTACTATGCTCCAAGTACAGGACTTGGGTAGGGAACAAAAAAATTCATCTTGAAGTTAAGCTCAGCTCTACCAACAATTTAACCTGAAACTTTAAGAGATTATTATTTTTCATATATTTTATCACCAGTTAGAAAAAAAAAAAAAGCACAAGCATTCTGTATGTGATGATGAAAACTCCCCATTATATTTAAGCAATCTGAAAACTGCTAAATCATTAAGTCACACCGGTAGAATTCCACAGCTGTTAAAAATGGTATCTACAAGTGAGAAGTTAAAAGAACATACTGAGCTGCTGCAAAAACACTGCGCTTACATTTGGAAATAACCTCTGTGCAACAAGTATTTCTATTAGCTAAACCTGTGTGACATTAAAAAATGTCCTGATTGCTATGTCAGAATGTTTTCACAGCTATGTTTCAAAGTTGTGAAGAATGGCTTTTGTTGCACTTCAGATCAGCAGGTGAACATTTATTTACTGTTAGACTAGGGGATAGAACTGCCCCTTAGTTTGCATTTTTGATCTACAAACTGTACCAAATTAAGCTTGCTCCTACTAACAGCCCCAAAATGAAAAACAATTGCTTGCCTTTCCAAAATATGATTGTTCTCAGCCAGCTCTTTAACAACCCCTTCCATTTCCTCCTTTAGTTTCTTCATACTGTAGTCAGAACAAGCAAAAGGTTACAATTTTTATAGAGACAGCTGTCTAGTACAATCACTCATCATCACAAAACTCTCAGCAACTTGTCATTACATACAAAACAAGAGACATAGATCAGGTTGGTTATTTACTAAAAGTAATGGATGATTATTAATGTTGTCCTTTACTCATTTCCAAATCCATACTGTTGCTTCAGCAATAGAGTTATTTTTTCTGCAACAACTGAATAATTGTATCATTCTTAGCCTTAGCAGAGCAATCACACAGCCAACTGTAAGCATTCTTTTCAATCTATCTGTCTAATAGGTACGGAATATGATGGCCATTCAATCAATAAATTCTCACCCAAGAGTCATTTCTACTAATGTATTTGAACTTGGATAAACTGTATTCATGGTATGTTTCATCCCAGTGGAAGCTGCAAACATTTTCTGAGGCAGAGCATCTTGTAACTGCAATAGATAAAAAGGAAGTGTAAGTTAAAATACAAGTTGTGATATGTTTCTTGATATTCTCCATTTTTCAATTCTCTGTTGCTGAGATACTTCACAAAATCACTGCAGCAGTAAGGCATGAGATCATCGTGGCAAGATCTTTATAGAGATGGCCTTCAGTTTTCTGATTTGTTCCATCTTCTTAAGAGCCTCAAGCTTTTGTAATAAACTCACAAGGAAGAATTATTTATTTGTTATGTTTTTAGATAGCCTAAGGGAAGAGGATTCTAATGAATAACTGGTTTCCTTCTTCTTGATTGCAAGAAGATACTCTTTTAGGTTAGACTGAGATTAGGTTTTGATATGGGAACATGATACTAAGTCTGAATTTCACATCTCATGAAAGTTACACAGAAAAGAGTAAAGGCTTTTCTCATTCTTTCAGTTTTGAGGTAATTCTGGTAAGTTTGCATCCAACAGAGCCGCTGTCCAAATTTTAATGGAACTTTTTCTTCCATGACACCAGCAGCATTACATTAGCATGAGTCCTTGAGTGCGTATTCCCTGATCTTGAATGAGAGTAGTGTTTTCATAGAATTGTGGAATCACAAGGTTGGAAACAGCCTGTAAGATCATCCAGTCCAGCCGTCTCCCCATCACCATTGCCACCACAAGCACTAAGCCACATCACGCAGCACGTCGTCCAGACGCCTCTTGAGCACTGCCAGGGATGGCGACTCCACCACCTCCCTGGGCAGCCATTCCAGTGCCTGACCACTCTCTGAGAGAAGGAGTTCTTCCTTATGTCCAACCTAAACCTCCTCTGATACAACTTGCGGCCATTGCCCAGTGTCCTGCTCGTTGCCTGGGAGAAGAGGCCAAATCCCTCTTCACCACAGCCTCCCTTCAGGAAGTTGAAGAGTGCAATGAGGTCTCCCCTGAGCCTCCTCTTCTCCAGACTGAACAATCCCAGCTCCCTCAGATGCTCCTCATAAGCCCTGTGCTCCAGACCCCTCACCAGTTTCGTCGCCCTTCTCTGCACACGCTCCAGGACCTCAACATCTTTCCTGTAGTGAAGAGCCCAAAACTGAACACAGCACTGGAGGTGTGGCCTCACCAGCACTGAGTACAGGGGGATGATCACCTCCTGCTCCTGCTGGCCACACCATTTCTAATGCAGGCCAGGATGCCGTTGGCCCTGTTGGCCACCTGGGCACACTGTTGGCTCATGTTCAGCCGAGCATCAACCATCAAGCCTATATTTTAATGCAACTGCATTAAGTACAACTCACTATAAACAGCATTAATATTAAACAATGTAAAATAATCTTATTTTTGCAAAGCCTTTCCATAACTTAGAAGAATTTTTACCTCATTTATATAATCCTGGTATTTGGATACTTCTTCTTCAATATCAAAACATTGGTTGGTGAGAGCCAGCAACTGCTTTCTTGTGTGAAGCATTTTCCTAAATGAGAAAAGTAGTAGTTTTCTTTTAATATACATATATATTTTTTAAAAAAAACTGATGCACTTTACCAAATACTAAAGAAATTAAAAAAAAACTTGCCTTGTCCAGTCCTCAGCCTTGTCCAGAAATGCATCATACTTGCTGACACACTCATCTTTGAACAGAGCTATGGCTTTGGTAGCATGCAAATACAGCTTCTGCCTGCAACACAGAAACGATTAAGAGTGCCATACTGCTTTCAGAACTTCCTTCAAAACAACAACCAACAAGAAGTATGCAGATTCAAAATCCCTTCAGATCAACTTTATTCATGCCACTGTAATGTATGAGAACTCAAAAAGCAGCATGAACTGACAGATTATCTCAGAAACATTCCTTGGCAGGGAGAAATTGCAAGTATTTGCATATGAATAATTGATCAAATGTGTTTTTGCAGTCAGCATTTATCTGAGCAGGTATATTCAAGGGAAAGGGACTCTGAATAGAAAGAACAGAATCCCTTATTATTTAGTTGCCTTCTACAGATACTTGGAACATCCAGCATTTGTAAATAATCCTTTGTGCTGAGTGATATCCTTGGAATAAATAAGTTGGAGTTCTGTATTAGCTTAAGGTAATGACAAGAAAAACATCACATAAAGACAGGAGAACAAAACAAACCTGAATACTGGTTAGCACTGCAGACAGTAGTTCCAGTGGAACTGCCATACTATCCTAGGCATTGCACCAGGAAGTAAAACTAAGGGATACTGGAATACTGAGGGGTACAGTCTAACAGCTGCTTCTATTGCTTCATTAACTGTTGCATGATAACCATTGAAATATTTTCATCTCAATAGCAAACAGGACAAAAAGGAGTTCTCTATAAAGCAATCATGCTCTGATAAAGAACATCTGCATTTAAAAGGAACGTATGTGAAGGACCTCCATGCCAGAAAGCATCACACTGAAGTATGCTGGCACTCCATGTATTTAAGATATTTAAAAAATACGTATCTTTTTTAAGGAAGAAATTTTAAAGAGGATATAATGTGCAGCAATAATCCACAGGAGAGGTTATCACCAAGAGCACCTGAAAGCAATTGTTTCCCAAAGTTAACTTCAGAACTTACTTGTCAAACTTGTGAATTTGTTCTTCATTATAGGGAAGCCCTAGGATCAGAGCAGACAAGAGACATTACTAGTTTAGTTCTGTTAGTTGTATTTACGTAAAACTTCACTTAGTTTATCCACTTTCAGTATGTTTTTCTTTTGTTTTGATAAGTAAAAGCAATAATTTACTTTTTTTTTTTTCCTCCTCCTTTGTTGGAATTCAAATCTCTAAGATTAAAAGCAGCGTTTCGTTCATATGGGCATTAAGAAGATAACTAAGAAAGGCATACACACACATTTACTGTTGTTGACTAACTCCTCATTGCTACCACAAATGTCCAAGTAGAACAAGGACTGACCTGCTATTTATATTACAGCTTACATTAAAAATGAATCAAATCAATTACTTACTTCGTTCTTGTTTGTCTTTTTTGAACTGATAGTAAATTTCTGTGATCGAAGATAGCAGCGTCTGCAGCCTTTCAGGACTAGAATGACAAAAATAACAAAATACTCGATCTACAAACTCAAGTAGCTACTAATGAGCTTTATGGACTGCAACTCAGCATAGAATTAAACGAGTCAATACAGTTACTCACTTTCTGTCTCTTGGATGTGTGCCCTCTTGATTCACCCAGGTGTCAGCTAGTAAACCACCAGGAGAAAGTTTGGTCTTGATATCTTGAAGACTTGTTTCTATTGTGCCCTGAGAGCTGGAGAGCTATGTAAGAGCAAGAAAGTTCAAGCAATCGTACTCCTGGGCCAAGTGAAAAATTAATTTAGGCTGAAGACAGACCAAGTGCCTCAATATCCATTTGTTTGACTTCATTAAAGAGCTACAAAGCTTTCTTCACTGAAGCTGGTGTTTCCATTAGTTAATACTTTGTTTCGTTCAGAGGCTTTAAGAATGTACCTTTCCTAAATTCCCTATTTACTTCTCCACTAGTTATTTTAGTTTGTTAAGAGTTCACATAATGACTACATGTCGTTCACACATTTCCTTCCCCACAATTCAGAAAACCTCCAAAGTAAAAAAGTAATCACCTTTTTCTTTCTGGAATAGTGAACTTTATAGACTGACATCCTGGGAAAAAGTGTGAAGTTACTTTCAACTTTTCCTCGTCTGAAAACTTAATACAAGTTTCAAAACAGAACAAACATTCTGAAGCGTGCCTGTGTGGGTATCACATCAGACAGCCAACTAGCAGTTCAAAATCATTTAAGGAAACAGAAAAATACATTTAGTGGTTATAATTTTTCACTTAAGTGAAATGTAGCAAATGGAATTGGATTGTCAGGGATAACACTATTTTCATTACAGTGAACTAATGACAGGATTTAGTGTTTGCAGAAAGGTATCCGTATGTCAGCAGAGGCATCTTAACAATCCTCAGCAGTCCAGAAATTACTTGGAAAATACAGAAAAACCTGTGTTACTGGTTTGTAATTCTAGACCACCATTTTGAGAATAACGTGGGCTTTGTAAAATACTTACACGCAACAATTTCGTGTTTATCTCTGAAATTTCATCCACTTCTGATGATTCCAAGTTGATCTGCATTAAATTCTCATATCTGATCATAACAAACAGCATGTTTATAAAAAAAAAAATATCAAATGAGTAACGGATTCACTCAAAATATTCTTTGAAATTAAATATTAAGAATAGCTACCACTTCTTCTATATGAAATACAGTATTTATCAAACAACTACGAAAGACAGACAACCTAAAGCAACCATTAGAAATGAAAACGTTTCTCTTAAGAAAAAAATAATTCCTTGAATTTTTTTCTACCTTTGAATTGCTAAAAATGAATTTGAAACTTTTATTCAGAAATTCTTCATCATACTCCCATTACCTGCATTCAGAAGGCAGCAGAAAACTATTTTTATCATCAAATCACTTTTAGGAAGTTACCAAACTAAAGATTCTTAAGGTAGTCAATGGTGCAACAAATCAGTGCACCGAGATGTTCTTCTGCAGAAACATATCTGGAAAGGCTGGGTTACCAAACATTAAAGGCTGGGCCAAGCAATTGATACTTTCCATATGACCATAGTTCAAGTGTTTAATAAATCGTTCAGGAGGTTATTTGTTCCTGCTGAGTATTTGGCACATTTTATTAAGAACACCATTAGAACCAGTTCAGCTACTTTCAAACAATGCATACTTTGCTCAAGGCGAATACTCTGTTTACCTTTCAGACAAAAGCTCTGCATTGTCATGCTTTGTGGCAGAGCCTTGAGAAAGGAGAACAAGAGGATTTGTCTTTTGCTAGCTCTGTGAGAGTCCTCTAAAGTGAAATCGACTGAAAGCCTGCTGAAAAAACGTGCAACCACACAGCAAATTTCTATTCACAAGAACTACTCCAGTCTGCAAAAGAATGTAATTTTTGTTCAAACTGCTGCTCTGAGGTTTGACTGAATACATCACAGTCATATATCAGAAACGACAGCGATTTCTTCTGAGCAGTAAGTGGCATTCACCTGCAGGACATGGCTGAATACTGGAAAACATCTGACCCAAACAGAGTAAACAGGAAGCAATGCTGTTAGCTACATAAACTGGCTTGAAGGGAGTTTGCAGTACAGCCCTGGTGATTTGTAACAAGGCTACTATAAGGTTTACCACGGTCTCACCAGTTACCAACTTCGCTGTTGTTTTTTTAAAGCAAGATCCTCAAAACTCAGAAGTGTTTGGCACGTACAGATCAAGCCTGACAAATCCTTTGGTATTCACAATTACTACATACAAGCCATTCAATTTGCAAGTGCAGAACGCTCCAACATGACTCTACATGTGGGCATTAATTATCTTGTGGGCATTTCTATTTTCAGACCAGCTGGGAAGCAAGCTTACTGAATCCTGTGGCTAAGACAGGATTCAGGGAACACTGCCAGTATGTGGGAAAACTACTAGCCAAACTGCTAGCTTGGCAAACTACTGCAAACTACTAATATCAAACTGCCTAGAAAGAATACATCCAACTGAAGGAGCCAAGAAAGATTGAACAAAATACTTTTAAAAGGTATCAGAAAGAAAAGGGATAGAATTGGACACTGAGTGAGATTAAGAGATGCAACAAAAGTCTGGACAGAAAAAACGGAACTTGGAGAATTCAATGCTGCAATTCCATCTCCTGGATACTATTTGAAAGAGGTAGGACAGAAGAGTCTTTGACCACTGGAAAACATTTGCTTCTAGAGCTTGGAAGACAAGAAAAGTGTCACAATTCTTCTGAAGTCTTTGAAACTTGGAGGTCCTTTCCCTTTTATTCTATAAGATATCAATATATTAGCTGTCCCTTTTCATAAGCTTTGACAGCTTTAAGGATAGTGCTCTAAAGAAACCCTTGTACTACGTACACGTAAATGAAAACAACGGTGAGACTCTGATGCACGCCTCTGACATGTGGGTTAACCAAAAGAGACAAACATGACTTAATGGTATGGCAATTAAAAAGGTGTAAGTTGTATCTCCTGTGCAATTCATTTTGGCATCCCTGTGTGCACGCTCTGATCTCATGACATCATACTGCAGCTATTCAATAGGTTTTCATATCAGCTACATGTTATATTTCAACACAAAAATTCTTTCTGGGCAAAAAAATGCAAAGGTCTTAAAGCTGTGAATGTGGCAGTACTCAAAGTCATCCTTCACATACAAAACCAAACTCAATGACAAAAGCACCAAAGCACCCAGGAAAGGAGAACTACTAGATCCTTCGTTCAGGCTCTGCTATAACTCCTAAAGACAACAGTAAATGAGCATGACTAGGAAGAAAGTAGAAAAAGGATGTGTGCAACTACTATTTAATAGTAGTTACTTGTACCCACTAAAATAAGGAGTAAAATTAACACTAATTTGAGTAAAACGAATTACTAAATCTGCTGAAGTGAAAGCAATGCATCGGTACAGCCATGCTAATTCAAATTTAATTTTAAATGCAAAAAACCCTGTGAATGTACATAACTTAAAATATCATTGTCATTAAAGATGAGGAAAATCAATGCATTTGGTGTACTGTTTCTACTCACATTTTCTCTGCTTTTTCAATGTTTCTGCTGCAGAAATCCAGTCTGATGACAACCTTAGTCTTTTTATGAACCATTTCATTGTAATCATCCTTGATTATCTCACTAAAAAGCAAAGCATCAGTCTATAACAAATTGCATTCAACTGCCACCTTACCAGCAATCAAGTTATGTAATAATATACCTACAGTAATTAACTGCTACTAAGAACTGCTTTCCTTTAGAGACACATTGGTATAATCCTCATACAAAACTAACGTGTACATGCATCTTAACCAAGGCTGAAGATTAACTATTCACAGGAGAAAGTGAAATTGCAAACACTTAAATATTATTGTTAAAAAAACAACAACAAAACTTTGTTTCCTTTATGATCTAAGAAGCAGAAGGATGCAAGGAGAAGAAGAAACCCCGCAGGGCAGCAGATCACAAACCAAGGTACATCACAATTAAATCACAATCATGTTCACAGCACTTGAATCAATTGCTTACTTTAGCCATCGTATTCCTTTTCGCATCAGCTCCTGGTAAAGCAGCAAAGAACTGGCAACTCTACAGGCATAACACACGATACGTGTTACTTCCTGGTGGAAAACAGGTAACATTAGTGCTAACCTGACATTCTCTTTACAGCTGTTTCAAGTCAATCACAACAAAGCAACATCGATTAATAAAATAAAGAGCAACGTGAAGCTGGTAGTAAAAGATGAATAATTCTGCCCAAACTTCAGCCAGGAAATAATGGAATACTGATTATAGAGGCAGAGCTAAACATAATAGTGAGTTTTTCCAGATATGCTAAAGTATCTGTTAGGGATGAAAATAAGCCTCTTACAGACAAAAATCACACCACTTCCTCTTGGGATTTACTTTCACTTCTGTAAAGGGACGAGTATATTTCCTCAGTAGTTTGGGAAATAAACTAAAAGAAACTAGTAAAAATGATTTATTTTACAATTTTAAGGCTAGGGGTTCTTTTACCTTACAATACCTTTGCTGTATCACTGAGAATTGTGAACAAAGTTTCATAAAAGACAGTTTAAAATATTCTTAATCATATGAAATAATGGCCTTCTGTTTACTAATTTGAAAGATGGTTGATTTTCAAAGAGACAGGTGCCTTTAGAATTACCATAGTGGGAAAAAAAACAACTCCTCAGCAGCCACATTTTAGAGGCATGGCACAAAAGTGTTTGTGACAAAATCAAAGCATGGTAATGCACACATTCAGTAGTTTTAGAAGACTTGAAATTGGCAAGCTCCTTTCCTCACATTACTAAATTATGCTGTAGCAAAGAATTTGAACTTTAAAAGACTTTGTTTTGTTTTTCAAATACAAAATTATTTGAATACAAACCCTGACTTTATTAAAACATATTTCTGGCGCCTCTCATTAGCAAATACACTTCTGTCAGTAAAAATTCTCACTACCATGTAAAAATAGTTTTATTAACATTGTTCATCTGAGAATAAAGTAGTTTTCATTTCAGTATCGTTATGTGAGACAGCTGTACACATTAAAAATCACCATTACTCACTTTAGCCATAGTGGCATCCCCATCCAAGTCATAACGTTGATGCACTTTAGGAAGCAGAACTGAAACAGAAACGAAACATCTGTACTTCCTGTCATCCATAATAGACTTCAAAAACCTTAATAAAATAACAGATATGCTAATATGTTTAAGAAATATTACTAAAAGTCAAAAGCACAATTGAATCAGAAGCAAGCAACTTCAAAAGTATCCCATTTTGTTTCCATACATCAAGCACCTCCATACAAAAAAGCATAACTCTATTACCCAGCTCAGTATGCTTCATCCCACAGCTGACAACAGCAGAAGCTTAAGGAAGTATGTAAGAATGGACAAAAATCTAATTTCCCCTCTTATTCTCCCAGCTTCAAACTATCTGTGTTTCAAGGACTTCCTGAGATCTGATGAAATTTGTGCTTAATGAAACCCTCAATATTTTTTTCTTCCATTAATTTAACAGAAGCCTTCCGAAACCTTCTGAAAGCTTTCACGTTCAAAACCTACAGCAAAAAATCTGCAGTCTAAGTATGCTTTGTGCGATTGAAGCACCTCACATACAAGTACAAAACAGCCACTGTAACAAATGAATTTGGCATTTTATGGTTCTTCTATTGGAGGAGAAAGTAAGCAACGCTTACAAAGATTCTATATGCTGCTCAGATACCTATGCAAATTGCTCAGGCTTCTTCTTCCTCTGCTCCCCCATTGCCTCTCTCTTAGGTGAAGATTTATCTATTTTACCAATTTTTAAGTTATCCCTGTTGCTTTTCTCAGAATGTTTTAATGCTTCTGTACCACCACTGAAAGAGAAGGAAAGAGGGCCTAGGACTGCCCAGGAACTCAAAGGTCAAAAGTAAAGGCACGTAGTATGTCGATGCTGAGGGATTATGACTAAAGCCTCACTGAGCATTTTCAGCTTTCCTATTGCTGTTTTGACCACTGCAAAGCACTGAGCAAATGACTGCATTGAATTCTCCATTAAAACTCTGAAGATCTTCCTGAATAGAAAAGCAGAAAACAGTAAATTAGAGTCCTTCCATTAAGCTCAAGCTGCTTACCCTCCTCACCCCATCCACTATTTTCATATGCATTTACATGGAGATTCATCTAACCTGTTACTGCCAAGCCTTTAAATATTGCATGGTTTTCACACACAGCTTTAGTCTTACACACCTTAATGTGAAACTTAGAGCAAAATGCCCTTCACTACCTTTTTCAAGTTACTTTTAAACATGCTGCACAGCACAGATTCACGCAGATCTCCACTAATAATCTCTCTCCACTGTGAAAGCCAACCGCTTATTTCTGCTCTTCAGTCCCACGTTTGGCCCTGTGGGAGATCCTTCCTTCTTATCTCATGATTCACATTCATGGAGAGTCCGAAGGGCTGGACTTTACTGAATAGCTTTTTGAAACCCAGGGTAACCTCCACCAGCTGAATCTCCTTTGTTCTCACGCTCATGGACTCTTTCAGAGAGTTCTGACACAATATAAAGGCCCTGCTGACCCTTCTGCAGACAGCGCTCCTACCCACGCTCTTCAGCACCTCTGCGTGAGCTCCAGCTGGCCCCAGCAGTCAGTATGTAGGACGTAATGACAAAAGCAGCACTGATCTCTCAGCTGAAGGCATGCCCTCCAGCTCATCTCTCATAAAGAAGTGCTCTGGCACTGGGCTCACTGTGAGCCTCAGTGATAGATGAAACGTAAAAACTTTCGTTTGTTTTCTTCCTCTTCAGCATTATCTTCTAAGCAAATCTAAGTTGCTAAGACCTCCACTGTTAACAGAAAGAATAACAACATTCATGAGGAATAAAACAGACCAGAACTTGAATTTCCACTTGGTGAGAAGTGTAATAGAGCCAGCTGTGAATTACATTCTGTAAACTTCCTTTCAGCTTGTTACAAGCGTCATCTTCAAAAAGCTTCAGAACTCCATATGCACCACTACAGATGACCACACACACACACTCAGGTTCACAGCACCAGGTACACTGCAAGCAGCTACTCTTACTGTAAAAATGCTGGATACTCAGCTTTATTTTTAATCGGACTGCTTAATTAGAAATTCAGATATTCAAAGATAATTCTCTGAAACTCTTAGCCATACCAGACATAAAATAATAACTAAATAAAACTATTTAAGGTACTTATAAGAAGGAGGAAATAGGCATTTTATACCTTCTTCATAGACTAATCCAACAATGTTCACAGCCTCTCTGCTTACTACGAAGATAGGATTCTCCTCAGTAGTCCTGGGGAAGTGTTGTGCCAGTCTGCCAGGTTCTAGTATCAAACGCCGACCTTCGTATATAAGTTCTTGATTCTGAGATGGTATCTTTGTCTGTTTGTAGACCAAATCATGAAATATAGCAGCTCTACAATACAAGAAATATATACACTAGTAGTTGGACTCACTACAGTGCAATACTTCAACAACTCCAATTTTGTGTTACTGAAGTAAAAAAATCCTTTTTACTTCTATTGAATTAAGTACTGGTTTGATACAGAAAGCATCTGACCGGGAAGACAAAATAGCACTGCCCAGAGCTCCAGCTTGCTTTGTTACAAAAACAGATGCTATTTCCTGCAAAACATCACACTTCTGCATTTATCTCTGATTTTCCACCACCTTTTGTGAATGTCTGCATAAACAAAACCTGCTTTGCCCTGAACTCTGAACGTTGGTAAAAGCAGAAGGATGAGCACTTCAGGCATGCTGATTTCTTAACAACATATGGATGGTCTCTCCAAGAGAAAAATCTAGTAATTTTACACGTCAAAGAGCATACACCCAAAATTCAGACTTAAAGTGAAGAGACAGACAGATTTACCTCCTGAAACAGCAGAGATTGAGATGGTCAAGAATACTCTGGTGTTTCAAATTCAGCAGTCAAAGGATACAATACAAGAATTAAAATACAATACAAGAAGTACAACTTCAAAAAACAACAACAACAAAAAAAAACCAAAGTAGGAAGGACCAGTTTGTTGCAGTGCTGCACAGGAGGCAGTGTCACCTCTTACTACTACAGATAGCATACAAACACTCAGAAAGGTAAGTTATAATAAAATAAGTGAAAAATAAAGTACAAATAGCAATTAGAGCTACAAGCAAGATTTCACTGCAAAAACAGTACTCAGGCAATACAGTGTACTGAATAGAAAAGAAGAATTAGAAAAGACCAGAAATTTATGTACAAATTTGATGAAATAACTGCATCTGTTCTCTTATGAAAGAATAATTCATTCTTCGCATTATCTGCAGTAAGGCAGGGAAAAGTAATTTATTTTTGCATCATTCTGAAAGTCAGACTCTATAGCTTTTAATATCAGTGCTTTATGGTCACGAAGTGAACTCCATATCACTACTAACTTGCAGCAATACAACTCCAGAAGCCTACAAGAGTTTTTTTTGCATCAGACACAGAAACTACGCGCATTTTGTTTCCTTGATGACAAGATAAGCACAGTGAGAGCTGAACATGTTTTGTGAAAAATTATTTAGTAAATAGGATGTATGGAAAACTTAGCACAGACAAACCTGGGCTGAGTTGGTATCCACTATGAACACAAAATCACTGTAAAAAGACATAGATTAAATCTGTGCTATGTCACTGATTAAGTCCAATCTCAAATCTGCTGATTTGACCTTCAAACATTTTATTTTTGTTAGAAATGTTTTTATGATCAACATATTTCTATGCACTGTGAATACACACAAGAATTACAAGGTCACACTTCTCAGACACACTGACAAGGAAAGGCGACCACATGTGTAACATTGATGCTCTCGGGTCACAGTGCAGTTTGCCTGAGTAAGAGCAAAGAAATGAATAGAAATGCACAGAAATGAAGTGGGTAACACTTACGTATTGTAGCTGTGAATATAAACTTTGTGCAAGGTCATCTGCTGGAGCGAAAAGATGTGGATTATGATTCGGTGCAGTATGTCACTCGTCTCTGCAAAGAACTGATCGAAGCCCCAGCATTTCTCCTGGTCTGCTTCCAGAATATTTGCAAGGACAGGTGTGAGCAGTACTTGCAGACCCCTAGAGGACACCAGGAAGAGATAAAAACAACTTGGACCTTTCCACGTTTTACTTGCCTCATGAACATAAGTCAGTCTATTATGCCCTGAAGAATATCCCACTGCTTTTTTAATTTCTTCTGTATAAAAACAAAACGTTTAATGGCAATGCCCGTTGTTCAATTATAACACACCATTTGAGGCTTGACTATCACCTATTTTTCCTTGGTACATAACTAATTTCATACTCACTGGAAAAAAATATGACAAGCAATTTAGGAAGTCTACATCTTAGAGCTAAGTTAATGTTCTACCACTGCTGGGAATGATCTTTACTGAGCTCTCATCAACACTTAGAGCAGCCTATCACTTCGGAGGAGGTAACTGCCAGTTAAGTTTGCTGATTGAGCTGCTTTGCACGTTGCTTCCAGTCAGAATCAGCTTGGTTAGCAAAGATTTATTATTTGAATTGTCAATTGCCAGTGCTAACAAAAACACACCTTGATTGAGATGGGGCCAAACAAGCATTTGATACATGCAGCTCATCATCTGCAGAGGAAAGTGAGAAACTATTGCCTTACAGCCTTTACTATTCTATGAAAAGGCAAATGTAAGTTTCTTGGCATTTTTACTTTGAAAAATCTGACTTGTGAGGAAGATTAGGGACACTGCTTCTGCGTTATCATGGACAGCTTCTTCAAAGCTCCATTTCACTGCAGTCTAAATATGCAGCAATAAATGCTGTTTAAATGCTATTTGAAAATATTCCTCTAAGTAGACATCTAGTGAAAAAGTCTTCCTTTATTATTTAAAATAATGGAGTAAACAGAAAAAACAACTAAGCAATACCGTGAATAAAGCGTAAATGGTAAGTTCTGTATGCTGTAAATCAATAAATTTATCTTTATGAACTAATGAATTAATAAAAAACAGACTTCCACACTACATTCCTTGTGGATCAACATATTTGGCTTTCAGAAAGTTTGTTTCTATAGTCTGTTCACAGAAAAATTTCATTTGCCCTTCACCATGAAGAACAGCTTTGAATAAACGTTCAGCAAGGTACTTAAAAACACCTGCAATTTTACATTGCTGAAGACTCAGAAGGGTTCAGAACAGATATTAGGAAAAAGTTCTTCATCAGAGAGTGGTTGGGTACTGAAAGAGGCTCTCCAGAGCAGTAGTCACAGCCCCAAGCTGCCAGAGTTCATGGAGAATTTGGACAACATTCTCAAACACAGGTTTTTATTTTTGGGTGGTTTTATGTAAAGCTGGGAGCTGAACTCAACAATCCGTGTGTGTCAGGGTTCTTGTGAAACCCAGGATATTCTGTGACTCTATGATTCTCTAAGAAATATAGGTAAGCAAGTTATGGAGATGTGAAAATCTGACCTCAACATGATCTTAAAACATTATGTTTGCTAAAGAAATTTGTTAATCACCTATGAACACTGAGGCATGGTTATACTGCAATGAACATGTGTCTCCCCTTTATGTACATCGGTATCAGTAAGAATTATTCTTTGTCTAAATCAGTCTTGCATTACTCCTTCTATGAAGTATTTTGAAATAAGAAATAAAAATACCAATAAATGATAAAAAAAAAAAAATAGAAGATGTAAAAAAAAAAATGTACATTTTGGAACTGTTTTTCCGTATCATTTTCTGCTGTCTAACCTTTGGGATTTGTTACATCACATTCTTTCAGAAAGGGAGGAACGGAGAACATCAATTCAAGGTTTATTAAGTCTTCACATTCCTTTATGAGGGAGGATAAAAATAGTAATAATCTTTATTCTACTCATAACATTTCAGATTCTCTGGTGCTCATTTGTAAATTAGCCATAGTATAAATATTATAGAAAGATGGAAAGAAAGAAGACTTGATGACCCAATCAGTACAGTATGTAGAATTATACAAGAGTTCAAAGAAAACAACTGCAACCAACAGTCAGATCTCTGTTCTGAAGGACCGGTGCTGAGAAAGAACTGCAAAAGCACAATTAAGTAGCCCTGAAACACTCAGAGTTCAAACTTACTTTGAAAGACTGCAAGAAATAGGCATCTCCCAGCTCCATTCAATTGGTCCATTTGCTGCTTTCTGTATTCCAGAAATAGCACCAGAAGGCTTCCCAGTGATTATTTTATACCTGCAACACATTATTAATACAACATAAACAAATTGTTACCTCTTATACACAAGTCTAGCAAACTGACCTTTAAAACAGAATCAATAACATAAATTCTGAAGCAAGAGTAAATGTTAGGCCAGCTTGTTGTTTTGAGGTGGGGCAATAATCAGGGAGCTTCACATTCAGGCTGGCACCAAGTAGTGTTAAAGTAGTGAACAGTGAAGAGGAAACACTTTGAACTACGTTGGAAAAGAAAGCAGTTTTTTTTTCTACCTTGAATTTGAGAAAAAAAATAGAAGAAATCTTAGGTACTACTATAAGAAACCACAGTTTGTTCACAAGTAGTAATTAATCAAAATCAGATTGCCAAGCCTCTAATGTTGGAATTCACTTGACTAACTTGTAGCATGTTCCATGGCAAGGGATGACGCTTAACTGCCAAAAAGTCACCTGAGGATCAAAAAAGGAACAGAAGGTGGGCTTTGAGAAATTACTGGAACATGGAAATATTCAACAAATTGGATGCAATTCAGCACTGTGTAACTTTGTACGTAGCAGGCTGGTATTTCTCAGACTTCTCATGAAATACATCAGGAGCAACAGGCTTTGTGCAAAACGAAATTTCAGCTGTGCTCTTTTCTCAGAGGATGAACTACACACAAAACGTACTCCTGCCTGCTTGAAAGAGAAGCAAGAAATGAGCACAAAACAGATGAGAATGCCTGTGGGAGAACCAAAGCATGGGTAGTTCCTTAAACTAAGAAAACTGAAATCAGCCTCAACAAGCATTACCAGTACAGAGGAGCTTTACAAGTATCAGAGTCTCCAGCTACCATCTTGATTTGTTTTTTAAATGTAACATACAGAAGAACACTAGAATAAAATGAAAAATGAAATCTACTCCAGCCAGCATGTTACTATCACAAGTTCTGTTTTACATTTGGGAGCTACCTGTTATCTTTAGCTGTAGTACCTGGTTCCATGAAATAAGCAAAACAGTCTGACAAAAAAAAACCAAACATTAGCCTGATGTGTAGTGTATGCATTCCAGGACAGTCTGGAGAGACAATCACATAAAAAGACAACAAACTTTTGCAGCACTGAAAAAACTGAAAAAAAAAAATAAAATCAGAGTACTGCAACTTCATACGAATATTCAGTTTACACACACCACACTGCAACAGACCAACCTACTGCAATGGGGAAGGAAACGTGTGGAAAAACACTGGTATTCTGGAGGAGCTCTGATGCTTAATTCAAGTCTGAAGGCCTCACACATTAAAATCCTTGTTGAAGGAGAATTTTGAAGAACATTATGCCTTAAATATTTTCACTGTTTTACTGTTTGCAATAAATACATAGGATTTCTTAAAAAAAAATAAAGCATTTAATGTACATATTTTTTATTTATGAACAGATAAAATTAACCTTCTAAATTACCTACATCACTTCCTTGTTTCTACGAGGCCCTTCAAAGGGTCGGAAAGGCAAACTCCCCGTTGCAGCATGGTAAAAGGTCACCCCTATACTCCACAGATCAACTGTGGCTCCATACTTTTTCTGATGCTCTTTCCTCAAAACTGCTCGCTCATACATATCAGGATGCTGGAAGGAAAAAAAAGTAGATAAAAAGAATGTTGGATCACGTTATGAACAATGTCAAGAACAAAACCACAATAATTTCACAGCAAATTCTTTAATCAAAAAAACAAAGTTAGCTGGCATCACAGAATTTGCTTAAGTTATTCCAACAGATTACCACAAAGTGCTCTTAGGTATATGATAGCTACTTCTAGTTTTGACAGTAGTATGTTAAAATTCAGTCAAAACTATACTACTAGAATATAACAGCACCAAAGAAGAGAATTACAGAATAATAGAATGGCTTGGGTTGAAAAGGACAACCATGATCATCTAGTTTCAACCTCCCTGCTGTGTGCAGGGTCGCCAACCACCAGACCAGGCCGCCCAGAGCCACCTCCAGCCTGGAATCATAAAGGTTAGAAGAGACTTCAGTAGATCACCCAGTGCAACCCCCTGCTAAAGCAGGTTCCCTGCAGTAGATTGCAAAGGAAAGCACCCAGCTGAGTTTTGCATATCTCCAGAGGAGTCTCCACAACATCTCAGGGCAACTTGTTCCAGTGCTCTGTCACCCTCAAAGTAAAGCAGAAAACCACTACTCATCCAGATGATAGTGAAGCAACAAAAGCTAAATTGGAAAAAAGTCTATAGCAAAGGAGAGTATCAGTTACAATGCTACACATGGAAGAAAACTTTCAGGCAACAGGAAGACTACTACATCTAAGATGCTTGAACTGGTGCTTCTCTGCTCATCTCTTTTCAACCACCATGTCAAGTAATACATTTTAACTACACTCACCATCATGCACATAGCTCAAATACAAACTGAGAAAATATCTACAGGAATGAAGACAAAGATATTCATAACTAAGATACTGTTGTTACTCCTTACACCTAAGGAAACCGAAAAAATTAGACCTGGAAATTCCTTAAAGTTCTGCTGCCACGTCAGAACTGGTGTGACTCAGTAAAGAAGGTGTAAAGTTCTAAACACAAGTGTAATACAAGGAGAGAAATTATTATTAATTTCTAATAGTCTGAACTATACCTATACAACTATTGCCACAAAGGATCCCAAGCTTTAAGCAGTTTTTCAGCAAAAAGTAAAATCACACAGGCTTACTAAATACTCCTCTGTGCCATAGAGAGAAACAAACTGCTCATCATCTTCAAGCTCCCTTGCAGCACCGAAGTCTGTCAGTTTGTAGACAGACTGACCATCTTCACCTATAACACGCATGATGTTGCCTGGTTTGATGTCACGGTGCACTATTCCGTTCTCCCGGAGATGATTCATCCCAGCCACTTTGATTAAAAAAAGAAAAGAAAACAGCAGAATTTGATGTGCATCTCAGCACTTACTGCATAAATGCTGACGTGTAACTGAAGCTAAGAATACATGCGTGTTCACTTTCTCATTGGGAAGTGAAAACAAGAAGAGAAATAACAAAAAGACCAGAAAATTTTCTAAGCATTTTTCCTTTTTTCTTTAAATTAGAAAACTTACTTTATTTCTTGCCCTCAATAGCATCCTTTCCATTAAGTACTGGCAGATGTTTTACTAATGACAGGCAGACACAAGTAAAACTCATTTTATTGCTAGTTTCCTCTTCTGAGATTAATGATCACTAGAAATCAGTCAAATACAAAGTGACAAATAATCTTGAAACTGGCAAACAGAATGGCAATGATCTAAATAAAAATGTTTAAAGCTTTGCTTCTTAATTCAGCAACATGACACACACTCCATGACTCCACGTGGCCAACTTAATTTGCTGAATTACTGAACTAATTCAAACTTCTCATCGTTCGCTATCTGACGATAGATAAAACGAGTACAAGTTTATTTAATTCAACAAGGCTGAAGAGCAAAGGTTACATACCTACATCTCTCAACACAATTAAGAATTCTGATTCTGGCAAACCAAAGGCATTGGATGGTTCCTCTAGAACTGTATATAAACTTCCACACGGACAAAATTCCATAACTAGCACTTTGTGTCTAGTTGTTGTCTGGAAAACAATTACAAAGGACAAGTTTGTGAATACTATGAAAATAATGTCAGAAAACACAAGCAGAACAGGAGCACACTTCCGAAAATGAAGCAAATCAGTAGCAAAATCACAAATATCATTCTAGAGATCTTGAAAAGAAATGCAGATCACTTTTACTATTGTTTCACATGTTCTAACACAGAGATGAAGAAAGCCTTGAGTTCTAAGTCCTTACAGGGTAGACAGCAATATTAACAGGTGGGCAAACAAAAAACTAAGGAGCAGAAGTGCAGACAGCAGCAATTCTCCTCCTTTCTTATCTAGCAGTCTCAGTATCCGAGTCATCTCAAGCGGTCTCAAGTTTTAGCACTGTAATTCATACTGCTAGATAGAAGTACTATGTCATTATTTCAGTTGGTTATAAAACAAAATCATAAACCTGCCAGAATTACTGAAACATCTCCAATTTTTTGAATTTTTACTGTATCTTATCTACATTCACCTTGCTTAATGCTTCTACATCTTATCAGTACGTATTACATATTACATTGATAACTTAAAAATGCCGTTTCACCGTAAGCCTTATCACAGCACCTTCTTGAGATGGCTTTGAAGAAACAAAACCTGTATCTCAACACTGAAACAAAGTGTATTGTTTTAACAGTGACAAAAAGAAAAGAAGAAAAGGGTAGTCAGAGTACCTGAGTACTCAGAATACCTGAGTATTATATTATCACATAAATTACTGTTCTTAAAAATGTAACTTTATTGTATCTAAGTGAAGATAAAGCAAAAAGACAAGTTAGTGTGGTTACTACTGTGTACCTTGGTTCCCAAATACAACAATTCATTACCTCTTCCTCAATAGCAAACAACTTGACAATGTTTTTATGGTTCAGTTTCTTCAATACTTCAAACTCTCGCATCTGAACATCCACAGGACGAAGGAAACTTATACTGTTAAATACTTTGACAGCATATAAATCCCCAGTTTTCTGTTGAAAACAAAACAAACAACCAATGATTAATCAACCAGAAGCCTAAGACTGTAAATATGCACATATCCATTATCCAAGCATTCTGAGATCTTCTGTTGTTTGAGCTAAACCAGATTAGAAATACTTCAAAATAGTGTTTTGCTTTAAATGAAAGTTAAGATTCTCCTAAAAAAAAATAAATTATGTATTGACTTAGTTTAACGTAGGCTAGAAGTAAACAAACTAGAAAAATGGAAACCCAGATTTAACCCCACAAATCTAAGTGCTTTTAAATGAATAGCATAAGAAAGGCTGCACATGGAAGAACCAACAACGAACTCCACTGAAAATAATTTGTCAGCAAGATGTCAACCACTTGCACATCCTACAGATAAGAGTCTTCCCTTTCTACAGTTAGAAGACAACTTTTTGTTTAGTGTTTTGCTTATATTAACCACGTAATATCGTATTTTACCACAGAAGGCAGCATCAAGCACTACATATCACTCATGCAAAATCCAGAAGAGATTCAAACCCACCCAGCAAGCAAGTCTTGGGCACGGTCAGGGGCACAGTAACAGACTGAAGCTGTCAGGTGGAATTAAGCCCTAGCACGCTCATGCACCCACAGCACCAGCTTACCGCATAACTCCTGGGGCAAAGCAGCTCCCTGCATGCACTCTAAGAACAAGCTTACACTGACAACGTCATGTGTGAGAGATTCAAGACTGAAGCCTTCCTGTGCTTAACCTAGGGAAGTTGTACAGCACATTTACATGCACTGCTGGTGCCTCAGTAAAGGTTTTCTGCCATTGATACAAAGCTGCAAGTCATGTTATCAGAACAGTGAGAGTGATGAGAGGTGCAACCATGAAACCATAAGCTTTACAGAGGAACCGCTGTGCTGAAATTCACTCAGCCAAAAAGTACATAAATTGCTAAAATACTGCTCAGTGTTGCTTCACATAGATTGGGGATTGTAGCAAACTCTATAGCTTATATATAATTTTATAGTTATTTGACAGTGTTATTACTATGTAAGTGAATGCCACTTTCACAACGAGGCTTTTCTTCATTTGGGGAGACATACCACAGAATTCATTGGAACGGAATGACCTACAGAAAGGTCATTTTAGCTCCTTGGGTTACAACACAGTAACACAGCAGTACATCATTTATATGGCAAAACTGCTCCAAGATGCAGTGCTTTGTGCTGATTACTCAAGGCACATCACCCCAAAAAACAGTGTCCAACATATGTTGGAAGCACTGATGTAAGGATGAATATCACAGCAACTGAATCAGATGATGTACGGGGCTGCTGAATCACAGCTCTGACTGATCACCTGAGGCGAGCCATGAGTCAGCCACAGGAGCACAGGTACCGCAATTCACCTGTGCTGCAGGAAGGGGTGGAGCCTGGCTCCATCTCTCCTAGACCCATTTAAGAGCCCAATAGCAGTGGGGAAGGATCTCTTCTGGAGATTCAGTCCACTGGAATTTACCACGTGAGCCCAGGATATGGGTGAATGTCCTACTTTCCTACTCTAGTATAATAATTACATCAGCCAAACTGCTGGATGTACCATATCATTTGTATACTCATTGATTGTACAGATGAGAACATGTTACAGATATTGTATTGATGGTACAAGATCAGAGAAAAAAATATGAAAAGAGAATTTAAAAGTGACAAAGAAACTAAAGAAACTCAGGTAGCAGTAGCAGAAACTGACAAGACTTTTGTTTCTATTTAAATTCTTAAGCAAGGTGGAAGGCAAATTGATAAGTGGAGGGATTAATTTTAACCGTTAGTATTTTACAAAGATATATGAATGCAAATATATAATACAAAGATATATTTAATATCACAAACATATCCTCAGAAGTAACTGTATAGAACTCAAATTCAGTGGAGAAACAGACAAAAAATATTAAGAACTATGTGCAAACAAGTTAGAAAAATGCATTTGCTCTAGGCCTAAACATTTAACAGCTTTTTATCAGTTCCATAACACTTACGGAACTTCCATAACCATGAGGATAAAAACTTCAGTTTTATGTTTCATTTCTATTGGTAACTCTTCACAAACCTTATGTCGTCCCCGGAAAACGTTTGCGGTAGCTCCTTGTCCTAGAATGTCAGACAACAGCCAGAGATAATTCGAGGTGCTCTGCATCTTTGCTTTCCTATTAGACAGCTTTGACTTTGACCTTAAAAACAAAAAGGTTAAATATACCAAAATATATTTTAAGAAAATGCACAATGGGGCCTTCATAATTACAAGAAAAAAAGAAAAAAAAAAACCACAAAAAACACCAAAACAACTCGATAACAAAAGCCAAAAACCCACACACAAATCCAAAAACAAAGATAATTTAAAAGAACCGGATAGAAAATTAAGAGGTAAAACACAGAACCAAAACCAAGCTCAACACTATCACAAATCAAAACGAATGCTTATGACACAACGCTTCTATGCATTTGAGATCCTTCCTACTCAAATACTGTTTGAAAGATCAGCTGCAAAAGCAAAACCATACAATATGTACATATGTTTTCAAATGACCCAGCAATGGAAATTAGAAGAAAGAGTCAAAATGAGCACCAAGATCAGCAGGACCACCCATTATTCAGTATGTAACACTGAAGAACACACAAGACAAAAAGGGAAAGCAGATAAAGGCACGTTTTAGATCAACTTGGTCCTAGGAACAACTCGATAATGGAAGCCTTGTGCTTGAGTACAGCTATAGGGAAACTGCACTAACTACTTACAATGAGCTCCCATGAGATGAGCTAGGTAAAAGTCACAATTAACATAAGTATTATCAACTCTTTGCTGAGCCACTGATTATCACTGGAAGAAATCAGAGGACACTTCTCTCATTTCTGAAATTCCACATGTGGTATGCCATGTCATCTTTCAATACCACCGGGCTTCCCCACCCTCCAATGACTACAAGGTGTCAAACACATCAGCTTTCACAGATTCAAAAGAAAGAAAAAAATTTTGATTAAATAAAAATGATTAATAAAACAGAAGCACAAGCTTTCCCCCTTGCCAAACCAGCAGGAGCTGCAGTTGAACACCTTTACCTTTCTGGTTTAATCAAAGCACTAACTTTGCTATTAAATTGAGCAAAAAGATGGAAGATTAAAGAGGCAGCTTCCCCAGACCTAAAGAATCCTAGCAGCAGGACACAGACCAGTGCAGGGGCAGGTCCCTCAGTAGCAGCCTCTGTGCACTGCCTGCAGCAGAGCATCTCAAGGGCAATGACTAAAGCCAGTCAGCAAGCAGCAGCATGCTTTGCCCCTGCTTCAGGCCACGCACCTGCTGTGCAAAGAGGCAGAAGCCTTCTCTGGCTTTGGGCACATCTTTCCATGCACAACAACTACTGATTTTATGGTTTTATTTAGCTATTGGCTCACGTAAGGTGTGCAGCTTCAGGTATAGCTGTCCCAAAACATCAAAGTAATGTCATGGAGTGCACAGAATGCAACCATACAATGCAAAGACATGCCATTAGTCCACACTAAGCCCAGAATCATTCAGCGATAGCATTTCTAAACCTATTTCTTCATGCCCAGAGAAGGAAAGAAAGGTTCTCTCTCAAGTCTTAACAAGAAAATCCTGAATTTGAACAAAAAAACCACACCTCTATACACACACAAGACCTTAAAGTTCTGTTAATTCTAAGATGATCTCCAGTTCTGAGTACCAACTTCTTCCAGAGGCAACTCCTGTAGATGAATCCTATTTAAGCAGATACTACATAGATGAATCAAATCAACGAGTTTCTTCACTGATATCCACTCCAATACTAGCAATGTTAGTGGCCTAACAGAGTCATCACAGTGCCCAAAGTGAGAAATGAAGCAGCTTACTTATAGGCTGGCCCTCCCCCTTTACCCTGTTACTTCCTAAATAAATTTGTTTTGAGGTCACTGAGTGAAAACAATAAAAGAACAAATCTGTGACAGTTGAGCTTGAATGTAATTCAGTGGATTTAAAAAAAAAAACAACACATAAGTCTAACAGTCGATGTCTGTCTTTTTAACTTATGGAACTAAAGATATAATTACACCAGTGTTAGCACCAGGTACCTACCAGTGTCAGTGCTGCTCTACTATGCCTCTTGTCAAAACAGTATGTTTATAAATAAGAACAAAGTCCTTGCTCTCTTAGCACAGTCTTCTCTTTAAGGGCATAAAGCCTCACGCAGTTTTGATCAGTCTTCAAATTATAAGAAAATAGATTTAAAAACTTATACAACATGCTAGATCTCCACTGATCTGACGCTTTTCATTTCTCAGACTGACTCAGCACGGATCTTCTCTAAAGACACGGTGTCGTCAAGTTTCCTTTTCACATCTTCCGTTATCTTCCCAGGTCACTGAGCTCCACGTTCACAAAACACGTGCACATCTATCCGTAGGACTAGTCCTGTTACTAGATTCAACACCAAGTGATCTATTCCTTCAAATCTCACGGTCACTTTGTCTAAACCTCACACAAGATGAGTCAGAAGTTCCTCACATGGGCCTTAAAGTCTCCTATGAAGCACTGATTTATTCTCCCCAAGGCTTGTTAGCAGGCTGCTGGGTCGGGGTCTGCTTTTTGGTGCCTTGAATACTTCTCAGTGTCTAGCTACTGCCTCTTTACTTGTCAGCAGCGGGGCAGTAGCAGAAAAAGCTGCACTGATGATATGGAGAACGGCTGCTGCGAACTAACGCAGAGTTACGGGACGGCTAAGCGAGCAGCAGCTCCGCCAGCAGCCGGGCACGGAGCTGAGCGGGCCGGGCAGGCGGCGGGGCTCTCGCTGCCCGCACGCAAAGTCCCGCACGCCACCAAGGCTGCCAGGCAAGGCGCCGAGGCTCCTCACAGCCCGTAAACACGTCAGCGTTCCGCCCAGTACCCCTCCTGTTATCTCTCAGGAAGGAAGTTTCCTCCCCTCAAGTTCCCGCTTCCCCTCGCCGCCTCTCGCCCCTCCGCTCGGGGCTCCCTAGCCGCGCAGCCCGCAGCGGCCCGGCGCTCAGCGCACAGGGCTGGAGGCGGCGGCGGCCCCACCCGCAGCTAAAGACTCCGCAGCGGGGCAGCCCTCCCGCGCCGACAGCCGCCGGGTGCCGGAGCGGCCGCCGGGCGCACGCCGGGCGCACGCCGTTAGTTCCACAGCCGCTCGGACGGCCGGCACCGGGACCGCGGACACACAGGCCGCAGGCCGCGCCCCAGACGGGGCCGCTCCGCGGGTGCCCCGCTCCGCCGCGCTCCTCGAGGTTCTCGCAGCTCCCGGGAAGGCCCCACCACCGCCCGCGAGCGAACCGGAGCCTCCTCCCCAGAGCGGCGGCGGCCCGGTAAAGATGTTCCCTCCGGGCCGCGGCCGCCCACCGGCGCGGCCTGACCTCTACCTTTCCCCGCCCCGCCCCGCCCTGCCCACCGGCCCCGGCCCCACGCACCCAGCGCCGTTCGCCAGCCTGCCCACCAGCCGCTTCCGGCTTCCTGGAGCCGCGCTGGGGAGGCGGGGCGGGCCGCGCCGCTGCGTGACTGACGGAGGCGCCGGTTCGGCCCTCGCCGCCGGACGGCCTGAGGAGGAGGGGCCCCGGGAGCACCTCGGCGGGTGAAACGCGTCCGCGCCGCTTGTGGGGTTCAGCATCGCGCTTCAGGAGCGTCACAGGTCTTATGTTTATCATAGATTCGTTGCCGCTTTCACAGAATCACAGAATGGCCAGGGTTGGAAGGAACCTCAAGAATCATGAATCTCCATCCCTCCTGCCACATGCAGGGCCACCAACCTCCCCGTTTAATACTAGACCAGGCTGCCCAGGGCCCCATCCAACCTGGCCTTGAACACCTCCAGGACGGGGCATCCACAACCTCTCTGGGCAGCCTGTGCCAGCACCTCACCGCTCTCTCTGTAAAGAACTTCCCCCTGACATCCAATGTCTTGAACAGCTGGCTGGGAGGAGATAGTCACCTTCTGCTTACAAGCTGTGTTTCCAGTTATTATCTTAACTTGGGCGTCATGATTCTGACACTCCGCTAGTTCTGTTGTTACAGGCACTAAGCATGTTCCAAAATAACGCTTAGTGAAACTGATAAGTCAGTGAGAACTGAGAGCAGTAAAATCTCCTCAGCATCTCCTTGGCTTGTTGAGATCCTCTGGACAACCCAGCAATGAGAGAATAACAGGAAAGTGGAAACCAACTGCTGTAGATGCATGCCAGGAAAACAAAGATTGGATTGTTTGACTTTTAAGAATTCAAGTGGAGAATTGCAGATTACCCCAGAGAAATCTTATTTAAAAAAAAAAACACTAACTTTACCAGTGCATCATCTGAGAACAGCAATGCTGGAAATTTCTAAGAAAGTTAAATATTGTTTTTCTTGTATCATTAAAGAATTAGAGTCTGGCAGCCATGGTTTTCCTTTCAGTGCTCCCTCAGCCAAACAAGAGGGGACCTGATGGCCCTTCTGACTCAGCCATGTCTGCGCATCTATTCTTCAGAAAAAAAAAGAAAGGACTGCCTCCTGGAAACTGGGCAGTGCTTCACTAGGCCGGGTTTTTTCAGTACATTGTTCTGCAAGGCCTGTCAGCTCCTATGACACTGAAAACATGAGGCAGCTCCTGCATAAGTTGCCCCAGACACATGAAGCATTTCATCCCCAAAACCAAGGCCCCAGAAGGAGACCAGAAGGGCTCCAAGGAAAGAACTGAGGCAGTGCAGCATAGGCTCTTGCATAGGCTGGACTGGTAGCAGACCACACTGGGGATTTTTCTTGACAGAACCACATCAGAATTCATGCAAAAATACCCATGCTGCTTTTATTTGATTCCCACATGACTCGCAGCTCACCAGGTGCACAGAGCCTAAAGAGGCAGAGTATCAAGCACAGCTCAGGAAATGAAACCTGGAACACCTCTGGAAGCTACTGGAGAGAGTGAACAACTGTGATGGTTTCATATTGTTCGCTCACTAAGCTCCATTACACTTCACTCTCCATTCCCCTCCTGAAAAGGAGAAAATGTGATGCAAAAAAGTTCATGAGTTAAGACAAGGATAGGCAAGACAAAGATAAGACAAGATCACAGTTCTCACTCACTACCTTCTGCCTCAGCCACAAGATGAATCCATAAGATAGGAAGAGTCTAGTAAGCATGCACAATGCCCCAACAGTAGTCCCTGATCTAAATTTAAACTAAGACAGGGGAGATTTACGTTAGATATTATGAGGAAGTTTTTCACTCAGAGGATGGTGATGCACTGGAACAGGTTGCCCAAGGAGGCTGTGGATGCCCCATCCCTGGATGGCGTGGCTCTGGGCAGCCTGGTCTGGTGGTTGGCAACCTGCACATAGCAGGGGGTTGAAACTCAATGATCATTGTGGTCCTTTTCAACCCAAGCCATTCTGTGATGCTATGAATGAAATTGTGCTTCAACCGTCCTCAGAGAAAAGGGCCACAGGTGCATGCTCCATCTCAGAGACGTGTGATGATTCTCAGTCAGAGCTAGGGCAGGCAAAGAAGTGCTTACTGTCTGCATAGGAAGAGCACATGGGTAAGCCTTCTAAAATAGCTTTTCTTTGTCTGTACCAGCTAGGTGCAAAGAACTTCAGTTTTGTGGAGCCTGGATTTTAGTAGTTTGTTACTTTCCCATAGCGTTCTTCTAGAGAAACTGGCTACTTATAGCCTGGACAGCTGTACAGGTCAGTAGGTGAAGAACTGGCTGAATGTTGGGATCAGAACAAAAAAGGAAAACTTCCTATCTTTTCATAGGAGGGTTGTGTCCTAGGCACCAGCATTTGACCTACACATTGAGGAAACTTGAGAAAGTTCTAGATTCTCTGCTAAGGCTTTCATGATTCTCTGTACAGCAGAATTGAATACACCAGTGATGGCAATGCTTGTCAATCCTTGGTGTGACCGGATTGCTGATTGGAAAATTTTGTCTGGAGTTCAAAGGTCTGCAGTTGTTAAAGTGATGAGAGCAGGGTGCGTTTTACACTGAGCATGAGAGGAATAGTTACACTGGTAGTCAAGCATGTATTGCTATTCCGAAGGACTCTTGGGAAAAATACCTCTGCCATAACCTGCCCACTGGTCACTAGGGATCCCACGAGGGCTGGAGGTTAAGTTGTGCCTTCCACCAATGTGGATACCCAAGTAGGACCTGCTAATAATAGAGGAACTACTGAAGCTGTTCTCCAGTGTCTTTTTGACCTTTTAGTTGGGAAGGCCCAGGCAAAGGTGATATTTGCTTCTGTGGGGACATCTGTTCCTGTCCATGGCTGTTGGCCTGTTTGATGTGAAAGTGGTATCATGTTTGCAGGAGTTTCATACTCTGGCATCCTGTGGAACTTGGCTGACAGAGAGTACATCTTGGGTCTTCTTCCTGGAGAATGCTGGCTGCCCATTCTGCACGTGGATCCCATTTGTGTGCTCTGTGTGTGATGCAGGTTTTCTGTTTTTAAAGGCTGCACTGGAAGAAAGGAAGCAAAGAAGCAGGACTGGTTGAAATGCCCTTTGGAAGTGGCTCTGCCTCAGGAAAGGGCAAATTAGATCCTTAGCCTTGCAGACAAAGCTTTTACTGCCTGCCTTCATCTCCCACAAAGTTTTTTGTCTTGCCTGTCCTGCATATTCCTTTGAAGCTTTTGAGCTATTTTATTGTTATATTGTTATAGTCAAATTGTTTTCTGCATTTAAGTACTTAAAAGGCACAGCAACTAAATCAGAGTAAGCACATCTATTAAGCAGTCAGCTTCACCTGGAACTACCTTTCTTTGTTCTGCATCATTTAATGCATTTCCACTTTTTGCACGTTTTGCAGAAGGGGAAGAAAAACAATTCCATGATATGTGACAGCTCTCATTAGCTCTACCTTTTTTCCAACATGTCACCATAGAAGTCATTCAAATCAATTTATCAGAAGTACAAGTTGATGCTCCCAGGCGAATTTTAGTCCAAAAGTATGCTAAGTAGTCCACAAATTATAGTCTTCCTCTTGTTAAGATGTCTCTAAGAGATTTCAGTGGTACAGAGGCTAGTGCTGACAGTCAATGACATTACTAGGTCAAAAAAAGAATATATAGAACTGTTCCGGAGCCTGCTATCTCCTACTTTTCTGAACTGCCTGGTATATAGTGAGTAATGAATACATTAAGCAAGAATAGAGGAAAAAAAGGTGGGAGGAAGAAGCCTTCTTACTAGAGCAATATATGCAAGAAGTGTGCCAGAGCACTCTCCTGCCATGTGCCTGTGTAACGTGCATCATCCGTCTGACCGGTAGCAACCTACCTTGTTGCAAACAGCAAATATAAAATGTCATACTCATACCAAATGTAATCTTCCAAGACAGTCTGTGGGCACATACAGACACAAAACAAAATTGCATCTATTTTGTAGGATTAGCTTTCCACCATGAACAGTCTTGTTACAGCATCAGACAAGAGAGGGTATATGGGCAGACTGCCTTTCTGAGCAGCAACCAGTTGGTGAAGTGTCTGAACTGATCACAGCCATGCTGTGAGAGGAAGTGTCTCTCACCTCTCCTGGCATGGAATTTATTGCTGTTACTTCACACCTGGAAAAAGCCTTGCAAGCCTGAAATTGCTTTTAATAACAACACCAGCTTGTGAATAAAATATTCTATCTCTAAAATGTGGTTTTTATCTTTAAGACTTGCAACCGTGTTTCCTTACTTAATAATATTTTACTCTGCAGTGGGAAGTACTGTTGCATACAAAAGGAGGATGCTTATGCATTTTTAGTCTAGACAGGCAGGTATACAGCAATCGTACATCATACATTAAAAAGCATCCTTAAAACATCACCACGCTCCACTCAAGGTTGCTGCTTGTGATCCATCTCCTCATTTGCTTTCCGTTTCAGTTAGATAAAGAACCTACTACCATAAACTATAGAGAATTACAAATTTAGTTACATTGCAGCTCAAGGAAAATATTAAATCATTAATACTAG